CCTTCTCCCTGCACCTGCTGAGATTCGTAGCTTGTCTGCCCTATTTTGCTTTGTTTCATTTTTTTTTGAACTCTAATAAAAATGTCTTTGTACTTAAAAGACAATAAGTGAAGAAACAATTTTTTGCAAACCCAAATTTTGTCTGCTTCTCCTTGGTTACTTGTGAAGTTGAGAATGTTCCGTATGATTCTTGACTGTGTATGTTTCTCCCTTAGTGACAGACCTCGCAGAGTCTTCACCCATGGTAATGAGTAATTTACATTTTTAAAAATTATTTCAGTAGTTTCTTATGTTTGCAAATCCTAATACTTTATACTTGGATACACTCACAGTGTGACTTGCACAAAAAAAATTGAGGAAATAGTCTTTCAGTGTTCACCAGTTATTGTCTGGCTCAGCAAATTTCCTGGTGAATTTCAAACACACAACTCAGTTTCACTTGTCTACACAAATGAAAAACCATCAACCCACAGTTGTACCTGAAGTACACTCATTCATCAGTGTAACAACAAATTAACTATAGACACAAACATTCAACAAAAGTATCAACAGTGCTCTATGACTATCTTTTGCCTTTGTTCAATTTACAATGCAATATTTGCATATCCTATTACTATTTGAAAGTTTTGTTACATATTCTTAATACTAGTAAAATATGTATATATATGCATATATTTATCCATTACATTAGTAATGTATATGTATATTCTTATAACAGATATTTACCTCTCTCCTCCATGGAAATCTGGCTGTATATTTATTAGTACAGCCCTGGCTCTAGCCAGTGTCCCCAAGTACTGCCTGAGATTTGCTGTAGCCCATCATACCTTACATTATGGGTCCTCCTCGATTTGGTCAAAGGTATTTTACAAGGCTAGACCATAGAGGGGCTTGGGGAGGTGGTTAACTTCGAGAGAGTTGATTTTATCTTAACTAATGGTATTTGCAGGGGTCCTGTTATTCGAAGAAGTTCACATTTGGAGTATTATGGGTGCAATTCTTAGCAAATTGTTTGGGGGAGATAATTTGACTTTTATATGATATTCTAGATAGCTGACATCTGCAATCAACTTGACTGGACTTAGAATCATTGTGGAAGCATTATCTCTTGGTGTATTTGTTAGGGTGTTTCCAGGAAGGTTGAGCTGAGGAGGAAAGACCCACTTTGAATGTGGGTGGCACTATCCATGGTCTGGGGTCCTGGGCTGACTAAAAAGGAGAAGGAAAACTGAGAACTGGCCTCTTCCCCGGTCTCTGTTTTCTAACTGCAGACACACTGTGACCCGCTGTTTCCCACAGCCTTGTCGCCTCCGTTCTGATGGACTGTACCTCCTCAAACTGTGAGCCGAAGCAAATCTTCCCTTACTTAGGTAGTTTGTGCCCGCTGTTTTCTCATAGTAATGAGAAAAGTAACTATGTAATACCCAAGGGCGCAAGCCACTGCTGGCTGCTCATGCCAGGGGAAATTGAAAGAGATCAGTGGGCAATCAGAGATAGCTGATGCAGGCCGGAGCCGTGCTCACCTAGAGAGTAAGAATGAGGTTTGTGTGAGGGCCCCTGGACCAGCCTGTGGGGGCTGGCTGGTGTTCAGTTCTACATGGTTTTACAGGACATCGGCACCCTACTGGCAGGAAGCTAAAGCTGAATGCTGGATTCCTTGTGGGGTCAGAAAGAAATGTAGGTGAGCATCAGAATGGTATCCACCTGTCTGAATTAAAACACAGAGAGGGATCCCAAGGGGGTACGTTGTCAAGGGGACTCCATTTTAAGTCCCGGATGAACCCAACAGCGTAGATGCCCCCGGACCTTTGAGGGTGACTGCTGCTTCTACATCTCCGGTCTACCACACCCCTTTCAATCCTGGCTGAACAGAAACAGTAACCAGCAAATGGGGGAGGGGCAGGAAAGAGAAAGAGCTGAAGTCAAAGGTCAGTAATCACGCTGGCATCTCCAGACGCAGGCTTCTGGCAACCAGACTTCAGCATGGAGGGGGTTGAGAAGAATCCACCTTCTCATGAGGTTAAAAGCTCTCAGAGGATCTTGGATGAGCCATTCTAAAGAGACTGCCTTTGGGAACTTACATGTGATTTTGGTTTTGGTTGTCTTTTGTTTGCAGTGAGCCAAGATAAAGACATTCTGACTTTTTTCCCCCCCCACTTCTGTCTTTCATAAGCTGGAGAGCGTTGCCTCACTCAATAACCTTGGAAGAGCCATGAGTAGGGAAGAATAAAGTTGTCGTTGCTCACCTCATGGAAGTCCTGTAAACAGCCCAGTGCTGACGTCTTGTTCTCACCTTCAACTTTCTTCAGCCTCTCTTACCAACCTGTTTGGTCCCCCACACTCTTGCACAGGCTCATCTTGCCTGGAATGTCCTTCCTCCTTCCCTCTCTCTCTTCCCTAGCTGGCTAATTTTTATTTAGCTTTTGAAAGTGTCTGTCAAACATCGCCTTCTCTTTGAACTGACCATTCCTACCACGCCTTCCCTGCTAGCCACGGTTAGATCTCCACTCCTATACGATAAATACATGATGTCATTTCGGTAGTTGATTTCATGAGCACATCCTGCTATTCTGTGACGTCTTGGAGAACAGGGAACATGTCTTATGGTATCTTTGGTGTGTAGCATAATGCCTTTCATGGGTAAGATATGTGGGAATAGAAACTAGATTAGAGGCAGACTTTTCAGGATTTCCCTAAGAAAACCCCAAGAGAGGAAGAAGCCCCAGGGAGCTGGTGAGAGGCCCATACATAGGACATGTGGGATATGCAGTATCAGGCTAGCAGAAAGCAATCAAGGGTGAAGCTCTGTAGACCCACACAAATAGAAAGTGCCTAAGAACCTTATCTCTGAATTGTGCAGGGTTATTCCTTCCATAAAGGGACTCATACAGGTTGTCAGTTGTTGCCAAGATACTTTGGAGGTTGGGTGGGAGGCAGAAAGGCAGATTTTTGTCAACTTGCACCTGAGACCGAGTGGCTGAATGCAGAAAGTGTGTCTCTTCTGGCTTCCTAGACAGATGCTCAAGTCATTCTATCTATTTACTTTTCACATTAATTAATTGATTGATAAATTTGTGAGTATGTGTGTTCATATGTGCCTGTGGATGTATGCCACATGTGTGGGGTCCCCATGGGGGCCAGAAGAGGCCATTGGCTCCCCAGGAGTGGATGGAGTCACAGGAGCTCATGAGTTGTCCATGGGTGCTTGGAACTGAACTCTGTCCTCTGGAAGTGCAGCAAGCGCTCTTAATGCCTGAGCCATCTCTCCAGCCCCTCAAGTCATTTTGACTAAAGAAAATTGAATTAAATGGGTAGCAGGCCTTCGCTTGGCATGCCACTGACGTAGTGAGGAAAGAATGCTGAGTCCCAAAGGAGCAGCAAACAGCCTTGACCGAAATTTGACACAGGGAAATCCATTAATGTGAAAAATGCAAAGAGAGGCGTGGAAAGATGGCAGTCTGTACACACACACACACACACACACACACACACACACACACACACACACACGGTGGGGGGATAAAAAGGGAGGGAGGGAGGGAAAGAAGAGAGAGAGGGAGAGTATTTGTGTCAGCATCCCTCACTACTTCACACCCCTAAGCACTGAATTCTTGGCTTTCTTCCCCTATACATGATCATGATCATAAGTTTATAACAAAATGTAGCCGAAATAAAACGCGATGAAAGAGAAATGGATGTGTTTCTTTACAGTAGCTGTACATACATTGTTTATATTGCACAGTGGGCCATTTTTCATCTTGAAAGGGGCTAAATTTATCCACATAAAACATGATCCCATTCACTGTTTCCTGTGGAGTCACAGCTATTGGAAATGCGTTGTCTTCCTTTGGTTCTTTCAGATTTGACCTCTAACCTCTGTGTGTTGGATGCTGGGTATTCATAGTCAGCTTATTGTTGGTCCTGCAGAGAGGTGAACTACTTCCAACCAGGATAATCTCAGCTCCTGGTAGACTCGCTGTGCCACACATTTTAGGAAAACTCTTGGAGTCTTCATTTGAGGCCCTGACATGAAGCAGAGAATAATGTTTTTGGGGGTCTGAAGATGAAAAGCAGGATTTTTAAAAGATTTCTGCCCCTCCCTATAGTGATGGAACTGAACTACCTCCGAGACTGACTTTCTGCTCTTTTCTGGGCTGCTCTTCCTCAAGTTGAGGCCCAGTGAGGAGACTTTGCCTGACCCCACCCTGCCAGCCCACCCCGCTTCTAACCACTCCATCCTTCTCCAAGGGAAGACGTTCCTCATAGTTGGTATTTTCTTTCTTACTCGTGTGTTAAGGTCTTTGGTAGATGTCAGACGATAGTTTCTGGGAGAGAAAGCTTTACAGAAAACATCTTAGTCATCATTGCCTACTTCACTTTCATAGCAGTGATGAAAATGGGGAACGGGTTTTTGACATCTTCTACCAACTCTCTGTGGAGTTCCTGGTAGTTTCTAAAGAATTTTATGGACGTCTCATCCATCGAACACCGCCGTTTCCATCTTGTGCACAAGAAGGCCGGAGACCTTAGAAAGCTAAAATGACATGCCCAAGCTCTCAAAATACAATTGGCAGAATGACTCCAAATTCTTCTTCACTGCATTATGGGCCAGAATGAAGACCAAGGGCTCATAACTGTTGATGGCACTTTGTTTTGTTCACGCTGTGACGCTGAGGCTGGCTTGGAAATGATGATCTTCCTGCCTCTGCCTCTTGAGTGCTGAGATTATGGGTATGCACGGCTGTTTATTTATTACTTTTTACTTGGGAAATTTGGGGGCAACATTTTAATCACTGAGCTAATTTGATGACCGCCTAGAAGTGTCTACATTTCCTACATACCCCTCTTAAGGATGTCCTAGACAGAGTGTATTAGATGGCAATTTTCTTGATTATTTCAGGCAAGTCATCCCAAACCAATTATAGAGTCATTTCCCCCCTCCCTGTGGAGTGTGGAGAGCTGAGAAACCGTGATTCTAATTCTGCAGTTTCTGTCCTTAGGCTTGCTTTTCCACAAGTCTCATACGGAAGCACTAGACTGAAGAGGCGAAAATCAAGGTAATTTTAACCCGAAATGGCCCAGATTGATTTTTTTAAATGCTATTTTATTTTTAGCCTTGCTTAGTAGCCAAATGTTGTATTCTTGATAATACAGAATAAATTATAAATTCCCATACTTCTTAAAATAGATTATACTGAATCTTCACTAATCTCTTTGAGTCCATTTATAATAACATAAAAACTATACGAACTTGATGAAAAGTACAATGCTTGCATACTAAAAATATCAAACTATTGCTGAGTCAAAAAAAGAGGAAGAGTTAAATCAATACAGGGGTGTATCATGTTTGTGTATTGGAAGGGTCAATATGTGAAGGGTATAGATGCAAGATGATCTGTAACAGAAGCCGAAAAAACAGTGGCCTGAGTCAAATCCAGCCTACTGTCTGCTTCTGTGAATAAATGTTTATCGAACACACCCACACCGTTCATTTGCCTATTGCCTACGGCTGTCTGCCCATCAAACGTCTCACAGCTTTCCCAACTTCAGACTTATCTGTTAACACGATATTAGTCAAAATCCAGTTGGTTGTGAGTGTATGTGTGTGTGTGTCTGTGTGTGTGTGTGTGCGCGTGCACGTGCATAGAAACTGAGTTGAGTCTAAATTTGTATGGAAATTCAGCAGAAGACCTGGAATAGTTTATAATGTTGGAAAAGAACACCCCTACTGCAATTCCATGTGGTTTTTAGGGTTAACCTGGACCGTGCGGTCCTGCCACCTGGTTGGTATCTCTTCTAAACTTGAGTCGTCTCTTGTTTCTATCCTCTGCAGAAGGACCTGCCTGGATGATGAAGCTCTTGGATGGATGTGCACAGGAAGAGCCGGGGGTGTCTCTATTCCTTAGCTCCCATGATGCAGTTCAGTTCTGATGAAGGGCCGAGTGTGGGTGAAAAGGGGAACACATTGCCTCACTCAGTTCCCCTGAGGTCTGTGCAGATTAGATCTCCAGAGGGTAAAGCTTTCAGTGGGATGTGGGTCACACTGTCCCTGGGCTGAACATCTCCCTCCCACTGGGGATCTCCTACTTGTACCTCCTCCGCTACATCCATAACAAGCCCACGGTTTCTCTTTCCCTGCTAGGGGCCAGGTGTGGCAAACTCCAAACCCCTATCCCTTTCTTGGTCCACTTATATGTAGCTCCATCCAAGGATGCTCCACCCACATAAATGACCCCCTTCAGCCTGTGCTAAGGATTGGCACGCAGTGCCTTAAAAACAAACCTTTTCATAATTCAGTCTCCAGATATCCTAAGGACTTCTCTCGGGGACTGTTTGAAGAGACTAGCCTGGTTGTGTGTGATGGAAAGCCACGTGGTAGCTGCTGTGTCCCACCTCACCTGGTCTTGTCAGTATGGTCCAGCAGTTAAGATGAAATGTCTCTGCAGTCAGTCAGCCTGGGTTTACCCTCACCTTTTCCAGCTCTATAACCTTCTGTATAATGCTTTACTTCTCCATGACCTTAGCTGTCTCAGCAATAAAATAAAGGTAGTAAAAACCACACTCACCGTGTACTTCCTTGTAGGGTCATGCTGAGGATCTACTGGGAGGAAAACCGAAAGGAAAAACAAAAGAAACGGCCATCATTCTTCTAGTTCTTATACATTCTTCCCAGGACGAGGACTTTCTGCCACTTCAGAGTTAACTCTACATAGACTGAGAAGGAAGGTCCTTTCCAAGAACACTCAACTATCCAGGAAGAGGCGTTTTCCTACAAGTAGAGAGTCATCAAAATCAGGAGGTGGTCATCTTGACAAACGTAGAGCAGTGTGATCACACAGCTAAAGACATCCCCTTTAGAGACAGGGAAGGATACTTCAGATGCTCCCTGGAACTCTTTTACCAAATTGGGTAGCTCAAGTCTCCAAAGAGTACAAATTATGGCCAGATGGCACAGGCCTTTAATCCCAGCACTCGGGAGGTGGATCTCTGTGAGTTTAAGGCCAGCCTGGTCTGCAGTGAGTTCCAGGACAGCCAGAGCTACACAGAGAAACCCTACCCTGTCTTGAAAAATGACAGTCAAAAAGCAAAAAGAGTACAAGTTATATCCTTTTTCATTGACCCTTACTGCCCTATCCTCCATAAAGGGAGACTAAGCCCTTTATTTTAGCCACTTGGAAACTGTGGCTTGGGTATTTTACAGGTTTTCTTTCCTAATGGGATCTTGTTATCATTCCCTTTAATAAAACTTGCTTAATAAAGTTTAATAAAACCTCTCTATCTGTGAATATTGCATTTTTGTCAGTTCTATGAATCACAGTAGACTTGATACCATAGCAATCAGTGGACTTAGGGAAATAGGGACAAGAATCATTTACTGCTTCCAGTGGTTCGTATCGATTGTTAACTTGACAGGAACTAGAATCACCTAGGAAAGGCACCTCTGGCCATGTCGGTAAGTGGTTATCTTCATCAGATTAACTGATATTGGAGGATTTTCTCTGAAAGTGGGTAGCCTGATTCCCTGGGCCTGGATAATTCCCGATGCATTAGTTACTGTTCTGTTGCCGTGATAAAACACCATGACCGAGTCAACTTCTAGAGTCAAGGTTTATATGTGGCTTTACAGTTCCAGAGAGGTAAGAGTCCATCACTGTCATGGCTGAGAACCGTAGCAGCAGGCAGACATGATGGCTGGAGCAGCAAGCTGAGTGTTCACATCTTAAACCACAAGCAGGATCTGAAGCAAACTGGGGATGGTGGGAGGCTTTGTAACCCCAAATCCCACCCTCAGTGACACATTTCCTTCAGTAAGGCCATACCTCATAAGCCTCCCCAAACGGCACCGCCAACTGGGAACCAAATATTCAAATGTTCAAGACTAAGGAGGACGTAGTCGAACCATCACACCTGCGTTGTATGATGAGGATAAAGTCAGCTGAACACCAGCATCCGTTGCTCTCTGTTTCCTGACTGTGGATATAATATAAGCAGCTGTCTTGCATTCCTGCCACCGTGACTTTCTGATCATGATGGGCTGTAACTGTGACCTTCAAGTCAGAAGAAATCTGTCCTTAGGTTGTGTTTGTCTTGGAATTTCAACCCAGCAAAATTATTAATAGAGTGCTCAAAGCTACTCTTTTTACAATTTATTTGGTGCCCATCTAATTACAAATTGAATCACTACTGAGGTTCACTTTATTTTCTGATTCTACAAGTACATCTTAGGTATACATGTCACAACTAGCATATTAATTCACTTGAATGACATTCATATACAAGCCACTTAGCTATTTTTAATAATTTCCCTATGTTCCAGTGGACTTGTTCACTCTCCAGAACAGGATTCTGTCCTCTGACTGTAAGCCAAAGGGGTCAAAAACTGCTTTCTGCAGAATTATCCTAATTTACTGTTGATGCGCATCTTACTGATTTAGAAATTATTCAAGTTTCCAGCCGAGGAAATTATTTAAATGGAATGTTTGAAGTGTTTTAATTCACTGTTTTCACTGGGGAATGAATGTTATAAATATCAGTTTAAAGATTCTAAAAGTTATATATTACAAAAGAGTTGAAGTGTGGGAGAGAGAATGAGGAAACGCTATGATGTCTACTCAACATCCGGACACTCAGGCTACCAAGATGGGACAGATCTGGGGTCCTCCCCCCATAGAAAAGACTGTTGATGGAGACATGCATGTGACTGATGCCCAGACATCTCTAACTTGCGCTGCACAAAGCAGTGGGAGTGCTTTGTACCAGGCAACACTTCTTTCCTCTAGCAGTAGCACTACTTATTGAAAACAGTTGGGGGATGACAATATCCGTATTATTTCTTTTTTAATTACATCAGCCTGAGGAAAACATCATTTTCCCTTATTTTTGAAGTTTCAGGACTAAAAGATCAAATGGACTCACAAACATTATTCATATACGAGGAGGAGAAAGTCCTAACGCTGCACGAATCCACTTCGGCTAATAGTTGTAAACAAATGTTCCCCAAATCTCAGAGGATTTTCATCTCTCATCAGAGTGCATTTCGAGGCTCTGTGTGATATGTTTTGGGGATTCTCCTTCAAGTCCTCCCAACTTCAGATTTCCTGGGCTGGCAGAGAGGAGCATCAGGGGGAAATGGAGGAGGAGTTTGACTATGGGGTCTAGGTGCCTGGCAGAGCTGTGGGGTCTGTGGCTTCTCTCAGTGATCTCTTGATCTAACTGCAAGTTAGCATGAGAAATGGAATTCAGCTCTCTGCTCAAAGAGAAGAGGATACAAGTTGGATTAGCCAGGCTGCCATGTAATTTACACAAAGGGCCATGTTAGCGTCAGGCAAACTGCATGATACCCCACATGGGTTTCCTTTTGGTCTATACTGACTGCTTTGAAAATTCTTCTTAGTTCAAAGTTTTGAATAGAATCATTTCACTACCAAAGAAGGAGATCTACTATTTTTGGTTTCTCTCAAAAGCTCAGAAGTCTACGATATTTTCTGTTTCTGTGTTTCCTTTTGGCTCAAATGGTCCAGACTGAGTAGTGGCTGTTCCAGAGCTTAGACATAGAGTCTCCAGGTTGCCTGCAGCCCATTGCACTCCCGATTGGCCTGATTCTCAAAGATGCCGAGTCCACAGTGGGAAAAACGAAGGATGAACAATGAAAGGATACACAGAAATAGACTCGGGAGTAAGCAGAGGTCAAGCCTAGGCTTTTGAGGCCATCCAAGGACTCTTGACTGAAGGGAAGTCTCTATAGGCTCAGGACAAAGTAGACGGAGAGATGGGGCAATTCTTTTCCTCTCTGGCTCCCAGAGATTGAGTCCCAGAGTAGGGGTCTTATCTGGGGGCATTTTAGTTCCAGAAAGAAAAACAGTGGACAGATCCCAACAGAGCAATAGCAACAATAAAAGAACAGAGATATAGCTGTTGGAAGGTGCTGTGGAATGTCGTTCTGTGTGATGTGAATGTGTGTTGCTCTGATTGGTTGATAAACAAAATGCTGATTGGTCAGTAGCCAGGCAGAAAGTATAGGCAGGGTAAGCAGATGAGGAGAATTCTGGGAATAGGAGGGCTGAGTGAGGACTCGCCAGCCAGACACAGAGGAAGCAAGATGACAAGACAGAACTGAGAAAAGGTACCAAGCCACGTGGCTAAATATAAATAAGAATTATGGGTTAATTAAAGTGTAAGAGGTAGTCAGTAATAAGCCTGAGCTAATGGCCAAGCAGTTATAATTAATATAAGCTTCTGTGTGTTTACTTGGGGGATGCGAATAGGAGAGATTTGTCCTGACCGCCAGCCAGCCAGGACACAGGAAAACTTCCAACTAGAGGAAGGATGTACAAACCCAAGCCTACTAGCCAGCTTGAACCAGGAGGCAAGGATCACGGTGGGCATCTTTGAAGTGTGTATTCACCCTGCATGACTGATTAGCCTGCAGTGAGGGTAGACTTAGGAGTTCAAAGTGATGAAACGTGGATGAGAAGCTTCCAAATTGATAAAAGAAACTGCTTTTGGAAGGGTTACAGGGCAGTCCTTTGAGGGTTCAGCAATTCTCACTCTCCTGGACTCCCCCGTGTTCTGAGAGTTTCCCAGCAGCCAACAACTACAGCAGGTGGTGCAGGACCCGCATACCCGTGGTGATGTTGATCCCAGGAAAAACTGTGGCCAGAAGATCCAAAAAGGCAAGGTGACTCATTCTTCCTGCCTGGGTCATGTCCGTGAGTCATGCACTTTAATCTCATCCCAACAATGGGGAGAGGAACATCAAAAAGACTGTCTATGGTCTTTTTTTTTTTTTTTATCAACATTTGATGAAAAACACGAAAATCCCCTTTTACAGAATCCTCTCAGAACGTGTTTATCTGGTCTTTTCATTTTGTTACCATGTCTTCCCCAGCTTCTGAATGGAGGAAGGAAAAGGAAGTTCTGAGAAACTCTAAGAAAGGTTAAGATGGCTTTAGCCACCACTGCCTGGGACAGCAGTCTCAGCCTGGAAGGAGCAGCTCTCCCTGGAGTCATCAAGACGTCTCCTCACTGGATGCTTTTCAGCTCCATTTACAAGAGTGTGCTGTTCAGATCTCCTCAGCTGCAAGAGCAGAGGAAGTGGTGGATGATTCGAATCTTAGACTTTGGTGTCAGGTAGATGGATCTGGAGTTGAATCCTGAACTTATCAGTTTGGCTGTGTAACTTCAGGCAAGATCCTTGAATGGGTTTAAATTGAGCGTTTATATCCATAAAACAACTGTAAAAATATAGAGTCAATATAGTGCTCCCATATAGTGCTGTCATTGATTAAGCTTCTAGTCTGTGCCAGACGTTGATTTATGGACTTGGCATGTAATGCCTCAATTTGACCCCACTGCAGTCTCAGACATGAGTACCATGACTGGGCCTGTTCTACAGATGTAGAGCCTGACACACAGAGTGGGGAGAACGTGCCCAGGGTCATGAGATTAGAAAGCAGTAGAAACAGCATTAGAGTCTCCTCCAGTTTTTACAAAGCCTGTGAATAAGTAAAGGATTGGGTCCCTGGAGGTGCACAATATATAACATATTTTAAAGTGAAAGAGAAAAGGGGAAGGAATTCCCTTCCAGCTGTTCCAATCGCTAATTCCTTCTGTTTCAAACAAATGAACAATTCTGTCATTAGTCCACGATGTGAGAATAATTTATAGCATGCCCTACCTTTTAGTTCAAGTTACCCAAAGTCATGGAGCATCTTCATGAAAAAGCTGTGGCCATCACCTAATGCTAGGCCAGGACACATCTTATTCAAGAAACTGCTCCGTTCATTTTTTTCAACTGACTAAAACAAAGCTTTCAAGCTACTGAGAACCTGTTTTCCACAGATATGCTACAAACCTAGGCGTGTACTTCAGAGCAAAATACAAGCTTTTCCCTCCACATGTGCTTCACAGACATGTGTATCACACATACATGTGTTTGCACACACACACACACACACACACACACACACACACACGCACGAACGAACAAGTATGCGCGCATATACACACATACCTACTTGGCCACTCAAGTCCACTTTGGAAGTGATTCTACTTCATGCCTTCCTGCCGGCCATGCTGTTCTTCATGGTGGCCAGTGTGTCAGACTATTTGGGATGTCATAGTCAACTGAAGTGTCAGAAATTAGGTTTTCACTGTTTTGGTGTCCAGGAGACCAAGATCAACGTGCCGCCTGATGCAGTTTTTGCTGACGCTTCTCTCCATGGCTTGCAAGCTGCCACCTCCTTGAATCCTCACATGGCCTTTCTTGGCATGT